GCAGGAGATGAAATGGCAAAAATCAAATGACTGGGGATATATGTCCAGTCATGAATGAAAAACAGTCAAGTCTAAATACACATTATTTAGACTTTTTACATCTTTATTTAAAGAAACGTTGTAAACTTGAAAATGGTAGCGTAGGACAGATGATGTAAAGTGCAGTGATCATCTACAAATATATTTCATTCACAAACTTGTGCTTCTATTTTTGACTAGTTTATATGAAATATGACAAAACATAATTTTATGTTATTACAGTACCTCCTGCTACCCAAAATGTTGTCTTTAAGTTGAATTTATCATCCAATTCAATACGAACAATTTTTTGTGATATTTGATGTGTTGTATATGTCTGATTTTGAATTAAATATAGAGTTTAAATCACTAGACCATTTTTTCTTTTGAGGAGTCTTTGGGGATTTGGGATGGTAGTGGTAAATATATATATATATATATATATAATCAATTAGATATTTTGCAAACTAAATATTAAAATGACACACTATAATAATTAGTGCAAGTGGATTGTGATACAGGAGCTGAATGGAATAAAAATAATCTTTTTCTTGAATTTAATTTAAATGCATTAGTTTTATAGTTTTGTGTTTACAGTGTTTGTAGTTTTATTTTTCTTTGAGACCGCTTAGAAGCTTGAGTGTGTTATGTGTATTTCATGATGCAAAACAGTGAAGCTCTGAGGCATGTTAAAAAAGAAAATACACGTCTTTGCACCCTGCAGCTCTTTGTCAGGTAAACGCACACAAAATCCAACATCCACTTTCACACGTGCATATTATACTCCTTCCATCCATCGTCACATATATATTTGTGTTCAGTTGTAGTGAAAGCTACCATTTGTAAACTCACTTTGTGGGAATTTCCAGGTTTGTCTTTTAAAGGACGTGCTGGTGATGCTGCAGGCCTGGACATGCACCAGTCAGTGGATGAACACCGAGACCAAAGGAAGGAAATATCCATCCTTATTAACTTGTCCTTTGAGCCAGTGCCTTCTAATCAATGTCTGTAAGTGCTGCACATATTGCATTTTTCCTCTTTTTACAAGAGAGTCCTTCGGTTCAAAGCCGTCCTTGACAACTTTCTCTGCCAGCCTTAAAGACACTGAGGCAGCTCAGATGTAGATGTGCACTTCACTTTTGTTTTTTATATATATATATACAGATAGATAGATAGATAGATAGATAGATAGATAGATAGATAGATAGATAGATAGATAGATTTAATAAAACGTCTGTTTGATCACGCACCATCCTGCTTTGTTTAGTACAACACCGAGAACAAAGTGCTGGTAGTTTTTGATCAAATCCAGATAAAACATCTTCATGCCACAGGCGCCAACAGAATTTATAATACAGCATGCACAGCTTATAGTACTGGGTTAGGTAGAGTATAAATCTTGGAGACACACATATAACATGAGGAGCTAATGTCCTCATTATCATGCACATAATTATTAAAATGAAAGTAAGGCTGCGGCAGTGATTTAATATAAAACTGTAAGGATTATAACTGGAATCCCAAACCATCCTCCCTGAGCACTGGCAGCGCTTTGAGGTACTATTGAAGAATCAAAAGTTATGCTAAATAATGCAGTGGAGTAAAAGTGTATCATTTACATCTTAAAAGCATTACAGTAAATGTAACCTGTGGTTATTGTCCTGCACTGCTAAATGTAGAGCAGATGAAGAAATGTCTGTAACTGAAGTAAAGCACAAAGTGCAACAACATCAGAGCCAACAGCTGTTGAGATGTTTTCACCGGGACCATCACAGCGAGCCGTCTCACTGATATTAGCATGCCTAAAATGTGAAGCAGGGTAAGCCATCTGTCGTGATCTGTGTGATCTATAGGTTTTGATGATGGGGTTCTTTTAATTTATTTATTCTTTTTATTCACTTTACTTTTCCCCACTCTTGTATTCTAGTTTTTCTTCTAACGTTTTTTTTTTTCCTTTATAAGTGTGATTTTCCCCTGCCTCTGTGTTTTGTGGTTCCTCTTCTGGTTGTTTCCTGTTTTCTTTTGATAGTACATGAGATAGTCT